TTATAATATTAAAAACATTAAAATCTAATATAAGCTCTCAGAGAGTTTTCACAAGGCTTCCCACACCCACCCCTGCTTAGAGCTCGACCAATACTAATATGCCAGAACATTCCGCATCAAATTCGAGCTGGCCACCAGCCATTTGAGCTGCGTGATCCGTGACTATCGTGAATCTTCGTTCATAGCGATAGAGCTTAGATAGTTAAAATAATTTAATAGACCATTCTACGGTGCATTGTTCATTTTGTCAAAAAAGTAGATAAAATTCCTAGTGACAGTTAGATTCGTTAGGATATTAGGAATATTGCATTTGTACTGAAATTTGTATTGAGTAGAAAGTATTCTAGGTCAGAAGAGTTGGATTAAAAATACTCTTTCAATGACTAAAATTTAAGGTAATACTGACTTCATAGGATTCAATTGTTTCACAGGATTACCTATGAATTTTATAGCTAAGTATCTGTTTGGGAGAAAGAAGAGGTTATACCACACCCGCAACATAATATTGCAATTACGTATATGTAACCTCATATCTTATGTTTACATTTCTTAAAACCACGATTGTATGCATGTTTTACATATTTTTCCCGCAACTCATACAATTGGTTGCAAATACAAATCATCGCATATAATTGTATAAAGTTTGCAAAACGCTTGTTTTTACAAGGGTCTACCACAAAAGGGTTACCATTTCACCCTTGTAGATTCCGACAGCAATGTTTGAGTGGGGTTTGGGGAATTGTCAAACCTTTTAAACCGAATAAACCCCTTTAAAATTAAATAAGCATATGCTGTACCATATGTTTGGTACAAAACGAGCAGTTACGGAAAAGGCAATGACGCCATTGAATTCGGGGGGGGGGGGGGACCCCGAGAACCCTCCCAACGCGGGAGGCGGCCAAAATAAGGCATTGCCAAACGTGCGTGTGCTCGTACGCGCACGGGGGGTGTTACGGTTTATTAACCCTTTCACTACCGGTGCAAAAAGACATCTTAGAGACATTATGTTGCACACAAGAAACCTTTTAGCGTGATATGATTGGATAATAAGCTCAATAGGGGTGGGGCTGAATGATTAATAAATCTCATGGACAGCATGATGTCTTTAAGGATAGACAAAATAAAATAGCCTCAAAAGTTTTTGAACAGATTCAGTCCTAGTACTACGAGGCCCAAACGTATTTGAACACTTCACC